ATGAACAATTTCATGTAAGCATGAGCGTCTGGGAGAAGTTATTGTGGTAATTGACCCTTTTTTACCAGGATGCATAGGATCTGATGATTGTAATGTATATCTTTTACCTTTCAAACTTTCAACTTTGCATTAATTGTAACTGTTTACCATATCTATTTCTCAAAAGTTGAAGCAAGTGGGTCAATAACCTCACTTCCTTTATTTGTTTGGAATTGTGTGATTATATGATTTTGCTGTCCAAGTTACCACATTGTAATATTATTATTCAGACTGCATTTAATACTCATGCTCAAGCTTTCATTAATGCATGGTGTTTCTTACCAATGTTCATACCAAAACTAAACACTGATATCTAGAATTATAAAAAAATTCAAATAGTACGTGCGCTCTGATTGGCCACGAAACCATTTTACATGAGCCTATGTAAACACGGTTTTCGTTCCTCTTTCATTAGTTATTTTATAAAAGAAATGTAAAATGGTTTCCGTATTTATATAGCCTGATGTAAACACGCGGGAGGTTGGGAGAACACGAGATAAGCGTAGGAAACCACGACGCGAAGCGGAGTGGTTTTCAGCTTATCAAATAGTACGTGCGCTCTGATTGGCCACGAAACCATTTTACATGAGCGTATGTAAACACGGTTTTCGTTCCTCTTTCATTAGTTATTTTATAAAAGAAATGTAAAATGGTTTCCGTGTTTACATAGCCTGATGTAAACACGCGGGAGGTTGGGAGAACACTCGATAAGCTGGAAACCACTCCGCTTCGCGTCGTGGTTTCCTACGCTTATCTCGTGTTCTCCCAACCTCCCGCGTGTTTACATCAGGCTATGTAAACACGGAAACCATTTTACATTTCTTCAGTGGTCAGAAGATGTGCGAGTTTTAAAGGGTGGGAATCTGGAAAAGCAATTAATTAGGACTGAAATCAATGGGGGCCCTCCTGTTTTAATTCATGTTTTTACTTTGACCTCCCTCCTCACCTGTAATGTTTAGGCACATAGATGAAGAGAACATTTTTTGTATTTTAATGCATGAAAGTCAAATTAATTGGCATCCACATAATACACAAGGCAAGAATATAGATGACTTAGCTTAATAAGTAAAAATTTAAAATAAGAGAGTTGTGCAGACCATATCTTACTTTTTATCCTCTTTTAGATATTTATCTAAATAACATAGTCACTATCAGTCTCATTCACTCTCAATTTCCACTGAGCTTGTGGAAAGATGATAACCTCAGTATTTCTTTAAATGAAGAAAGGAAAGCCTACCCTCTTACCACAGATAGTTCTTTTGGGCATCATCAGTGCAAACCTGGGTTAATTTGTATATAGAGGTAATTGTTGCAGTTAGGCTTACTTTAAAAATTGGTTGTGAAAATTTCTTGAACCTGTTGTAGTATGAATGTTTGACTCAATTTTACCTCACTAACCAGCATGTAAACAGAATAACTAAAAACTTGATATTTATTTATTCTTCTTTTATGGTGCACATCAAAATTTCAAAGTCATCACAGGCTTGAACTACAGGTTTAGAGGGAATCTGCATGTGTTTTCCAAGTGTGTATGTGTGTATGACCAAGACAGAATTTCTCCTAACAATATCAATACAATATCAAGCAGACAAGTGATGAGAATAAATAAAAATAGTAATTAGGGGATTATTGGTTGAACTAACATTGTAAGAATTGTAGGGTTGATAATAAGGACAATTACAAATTCGATCTGGGAGTTAAAGGGTTAATTGAGATGGCTACTAAGATATAGCATATCTATTCACTGAGATTTAATCATTAGCTAGCACACAGAGATATAAAAGACGCTTTGTGAAAAAAAAACCCAGGGCAATAAAATTAAAGATTCAGGAGAAGCACATGACATCAACTAGTTTACTGATGTTCTCACCTGAATTCATTCTGGAAAGAGTGCTCTGCAAAACTTCTGTTTTATCTTCTCAGTCACTTCAATTAAAACATAAAATTTAATTATTTGCAGGCAGGTTAAGGAGGAAATTAAAGGAATGGATGTATGTTACATTAAAAGAAACCTCTTACAATAAAATAAAGCAAAAGCATATTACATGTCTATGCTTCTGAATACAGCTACAATAGGTAAATTTAAGCAATTATCTACATAACATTTTATAAAATAACTAAAATAGTACGCGCGCTCTGATTGGCCATAAAACCATTTTACATGAGCGTATGTAAACACGGTTTTCGTTCCTCTTTCATTAGTTATTTTATAAAAGAAATGTAAAATAGTTTCCGTGTTTACATAGCCTGATATAAACACTTGGGAGGTTGGGAGAACACGAGATAAGCGTAGGAAACCACGACGCGAAGCGGATTTGTTTCCAGCTTATCGAGGTTTGACGAGTTCTCACATGACAATATTTTCAAAATCAAATTACCGCGTCAGACTTAATGTAAACATGAACATCGCTAACTCAATCTCATTATATTTCAATTTTGGGAAAAGCTATCACTTCGTTCT